TATATCTTAGGAATTTTCCAAGAATTAATTAAAATCAAAACAAAAGTCTAGATTGTATGCTCTTTGAAGGAACAGGCTAGGACACTAGGAGTCATTTTGATTTGACTATAGTTGGTTTAAGTCTTCTGTAGTTGCAGATTTAAACTTTTATTGAGATTTGTGATTCTTATGCTACAGTGGTGTTTTGGACATGTGATTTTTTTTTTAGCATATTAGTGAATACTCAGGAATCAGACACTGGGCACAAAAAATCATTGTCCTTTTTACACTATTGTGGGAAGCAGTCACATAGTTGTACGGTTAGAATTAGCTCATAATTGTTTTTCTGGTAAAGTGTGGAAGGTTTAATGATTACTTTGTTTAGATTATTGAGCTTTTCAAGCCTGTGCATTTAGAATGTACTTGTGTTTTAGTTAAGTTAGTTACATTTATCTCAATCATGTCTATTGTCATTTCTGTTTACTTATAAATTATTAGGGCAATCTAAGGGAGAATCTTTTTTTCCTTCCTAAATTGTTTAGAAACCTGTGAATGCAGTAACTTGAATCATGGAGTTTTCAATTTTGATTATTTTTAATCTGTAAATTTTAATGGATAAAGATTTCAACTAGTGTTTAAGCGACTGAATCAGCAGGTCATCAGACTTTTATTTTTTGCTTACATATTTTTTGTATTGTATGTGTGTGTATATGTTCATGAGAGTGTGCAGGTGCCTGTGTGTGTGCGTGTGTGTGCACATGTTTGTGTGTATTGTATGCATTCATGTGTATTTGTGTGTGTATGTACATACTTATGTTACAGGTCACATCAGGTGTCTTTCTTGATTGCTTCTACCTTATTTCTTGAGACAGGGACTCTCACGGGAGTTGGAGCTATTGATTTGGCTAGGCTGGGCTGGCTGGTGTGCTCCAGTGATTCTCCTGTCTTCTCCCTTGACAACCATTGGGCTTACAGATGCCTGCTGTTTTGCCTGACTTTTTTCTGGGTGCTGGGAGGCCAAACTCAGGTCCTCATCCTTGCAGGGCAGCACATTAATGCCTTCACCATCTCTGCAGCCCTTACCTCTTCTCTGGGTATTATTGCTGCCACTGCTATTTTCCGTGCAACCGTTTATGTGTTGAAGATCTTCACATCAGTAGGTATGGTTAGTAGGAATTAAATCTACAATCTAGAGAAAAACTGTTTTTGAGGCAAGATCTCTTGTAGCTTGGTCTGGTGACGGCCCTGAACTTTATGTCCTCCTACTTTTCTTTCCTGAGTGCAGGGATTACAGGTGTGTGCCACCTGGCATGAAAGGCATTCTTTATTTGTATTTAGAATTATTTAAAGTTACATTTTATTTATTTATCATGTTTGAGTGTGTACAAATACATGACTGAAGCATGTGAGTGAGGGTGTGAGGTCAACTTGGAGTTAGTTCTCTTTCTCTAATGTGTATCTGGGTCAAATTCAGGTCATCAGGCCTGGTGGCAGATACCTTTACTTGTTGAATCTTTCTTCTGGGTCCAAAAGGACATTATTTATTTTACCATTTTATTTTTTCCCTTCTAATTAAAATGTCTTTTTTTTTCTCCACATAATATATTATGATTATTGTTTCCCCTCCCTCTACTCCGCCCAGTTTCTTCCCACCTCCCCTCCCATCTGTCTCTCATTAGAAAACAAACAGACTTCTAAGGGATGATAATAATAAAATAAAATGTAGTAAGATAAAACAAAAAGATGCTGATCTATGAGTACAACAGAATGTCATTAGTAATCATTTTGTTGCTACATTTTTTTTTTTATTAAGTAGAACAGTAGTATTGGTTTACACTAGGTCCCTGACTTATCTATTATCCGATTCTTGGTCACCCGAGCAGTGCAGGGGATATGGGTCCCGTCTCATGGAGTGGGCCTTAAATCCAAGCAGATATTAGTTGGTTTCTCTCACAAAACTTGTGCTACTGTTGCACTAGTGTATCACCATTGTAGACTGAAGTTTGTAGCTGGGTTAGTGTTTGCATATTCCTTTAGTAGCATGCAGAGTACCTTCTAGGATGTGAGTCCTAGTCAGTAGGGTACAGGCAGGGTAAGCACCAGCTCTACTTCTCTATGGTCAGTGAGTTGTGTAGGTGAGTTCAGCAAGGGGGCCTTACTATAGGCTTGTGGAGAGCAATCTATAGTACTTTAGTCTGGGCAACTAACAGCTTGGGTTGTTTGGAGGTTCCCATGGGATCCCTTTGGCCAACAGTTTCAATCCCAGTATTATAATTTGCTGGCAAGAGATGCAAAAGGACATTTCTTAAATGCAGAGATTCTTCTTGTGATTCTGTAGTTATTTTATCTAGATTTTCATTTTTAAACATTTTGCTTATTACTACTGTATCTTTGTATAATGTGTATAAGTGTGTCTTAGTTAGGGTTTCTGTTGCTGTGAGAAAATATTGGGACCAAAAGGCATCTTGGGGAGGAAAAGTTTATTGGGCTTCCATTTCCACGTCACTCATCACTGAACGAGAATAGCCAGATCTTACGGAGGCATTTCTTCAGTTGAGGTTCCCTTCTTTCAGACGACTCTAGCTATGTCAAGTTGATAAAAGACTAGAAGACTAGTCAGCACAAAGTGTGCCCGTGAGTGCCATGGTGAACCTGTGAGGTCAGAGAACAACTCCGTGGGGGAGTTCTCTCCTTTCGCTTTTACCTGGTTTCCAGGGATTGAGCTCTAGTTGCCAGGCTTGTGCAGCAGCGCCTTTATTCACGGAGCCAGCTCATTGTCCTTTGATTTTAGAGTTTTGTTGTAACAGCAGAATTTAAATTAAATTGATGATTTTGTATCTAGCTTATAAATTGATTCTAGTGTGTTTTTGTGTAATGTGCCCTGAAGTCATCTAGTGGCTTTTATTTTAAAAATCACATAAAGATACTTACTTTGTTTTAATTGATTACTTAACAGCACTATTCCAGGCATACAGAAAATTTGGATTCGAACATGGGGCTGCTCACATAATAATTCAGATGGAGAATACATGGCTGGACAGCTGGCTGCCTATGGCTATAAAATCACAGGTAATGAGACTGGTCCATAATGTATTTTATTGATTAAATTTCAGAGTTGCAGATTTTGGAGACAGGTAGTCTAGCCTTAGCAATTTAATGGTATTTTAGAGTAACTTAATGATTTGAAGGTAGGACTCTAATAGCTACTATATATTATTAGATAAGCTGGTTATCATATTTTTGCCTTTCATTTTTGTTTGTTTACTTATATTACATTTTATTTTGTGTGTGTATATGTGTGTGCATATGTGTGTGCACACATGTGCACTGGTACACATCTGGAGGCCAGGGGACAGTTGCAGGAGGGGATTCCATCTCTTTTCCTGTGTGCCACCCTATATGATGTCAGGCTTGATGACAGGTGCCCTTATCCACTGAGCCATCTCACCTGCCCTGGTATTATATTTTAGAGTAACCTTAAAATCTTTTGTATTTTGAAATGAAAAGCTATAGAAAGTTCACGTAAGTCCTTTACCCAGCCTCTGATATGAACATGATACATGACTATACTTTAATAGGTAAGCCAGAATATTATCACCTTTGTGATTCTGCTGTTGAAACTGTGTGTCTGGTTTGACTTGTTCAACTTTTCCCTATTTTCCTGTTTCTGTTTTGGGGTCTGTTCCAGGGTCCACTTTGCATCTAATTGTTATGTTGCGTTAGTGTTCGAGTTTGTGGCAGTTCTCTCTGGCTTTGTATTTCTGAAGAAACTGGTGGTTTGTCAGATCACCCTGTCTTAGTTCTTTTCTGTTGTGATAAAACACCCTGACTAAGGCAACTAAGGCAAATGGTTCCAGTGAATTAGGTGGAACACTGGGTGGTAGCAGGTGGCTAGAACCATTCTAACACTGGCCATAGCCTAATCTCTTATGTCCTAATCTCCAATGGAAAATGACCTCACTCCATTCCTGGGCCTAGTTCCAGAGCCTACGTGCCTTGCTGAAGCTTGGACATTCTACTCTCCTATACTTGCCCAAATTTATGTAAGTAGGAACCATAACAGTGTCCTTGGTGAGGTTGGGAACCTTCAAAGTCTTCAACTGGAGCCTCACCTTGTTTGCATGCTTCTTGTGAAGGGGTCTAGAGCCCAGTGAGACAGATGGGGCTTTGAGCCACCACATGTAAACTTGGAACACCTCTGGATTGTAGACGGCTTTAGAAGTTTTCTCCTGTGGTGGAATACCTTTATGGGTCAGGTGCCTTGCCGTCTTGAGTCCCTCACAACCAATTACTTACCAGCAGACTGGATTATAAGTAACCATGATCAAGGCAACTTATAAAAGTTTAATTGAGCTTATTGTTCCAGAGGTTAAAGTCCATAATGGAGCAAAGGCGTGGCAGTAGCAGCAACTGGGAGCTCTTGTCTCAAATGCAGGAGGTTGAGAGAGCATACTGGGGAGGGTGGGAGGCTTTTGAAATCTCAAGCTTGTCCCCAGTTAAAAATGCATTTTCAGAATTAACTACTTTATATTTGATATTAAGTCTTAGTATAATTTAGCTTGAACTTGCTTAATATGTTCTGATGGTGTAGTTTAATAAGAAGGCAGCCTTTCAGGAAATTATACCTGACTTCTGTAAGTCAGTTAAGTACCGACTTCTGCGGTGATAGTAAATATCCACTCTATTTTAATTTACAGTTTAATCCATTGGCAGTTTGAAATGGTCCAATGAAAGTAGTCTCTATATAGCATAACCGTCCTATATGTTTAAATAAGAATCTTAACTTTTTGAGCATAGTGGTCTTGTAATTCCAGCTCTTTGGAGACAGAGGTAGGAGGATCGCCTGAGTTCAAGGTCAGCCTGGTCTATTATAACAGAATATCCAGGCCACCTGGGGCTAGTTGGTAAGACTTTATTACAAAAGAAGACTAAACAAAGCAGTTTACTCTTTAGTATACAGATTTAATTTGAATTTCTTTAAAAAGTTACATCTGTTTATTTTGTGTGTATGCATTCTAGGACACTCATGCAGAGGCCAGAGGAAAGTTTCTGGTAGTCAGCTCTCTCTCTGCACAGTGTGGAAGCTGGAGCTGGAGCTCAGGTTCCCTGGCTCACTGGTACGCTCGTCTACTCACTGAGCCTTCATTTTCATTTCTTATGTGGGAATATCTTAAAAGGGAGAACTAAAAAATATTTGAAAATGAAATTTATTTTCTTAATAGTGTAGTATATTACTTGTAACATGAGGGCTGGCTTGTTGGGGTTTCTGTCCCGCCTGGTACCCCACAGCCGGCAACTCCCAAGGAAAATCACACACAAGACTCCATAAGATTATAAACTGATTGGCCCATTAGCTCAGGTTTCTTGTTAGCTCTTATAGCTTATATTAACCCATTATTCTCATTTATGTCAGCCATATGGCTTGGTACCTTTTTTTCAGCTGGGCAGGTTACATCCTGCTTCTTTGGTGGTCTGCGCAGGAATGGCAGAGGGAGCTTCCTCCTCACTAGCCTTCTCCTATTCTCATTGCCCTGCCTCTACTTTCTGTCTGGTTGCCTGGCCAATCAGCGTTTTAATAAAATACATGATTGACAGAATACAGACAATTCTCCCGCACCATTTCTCTCTCTCTTTTTTTTTTAAACAAAGGAAAATACCCATAGTCCATTTGTTGGGAATGTGGGCGTAGTATTTCAGGCTACTTCCTGCTGGTTGGGGGCACTGATAATCTCATGGGAACCTAAAGAAAATTTAGAGTTATAATCAAGTCCTGACTGGAGTATCCTGTGAGTCCTGATCATCTCAGGCAGCATCTTGAATCCATTCTGGATGTAGAACTCAGATATCCAGGCCATCTGTTTCTACCGGAGATTTCTCAGATGGTCTTCCTTGTTCAAACTGGATTTTTCTTAACTCAGAATGAATCCACAGCCTCTCATTTTCTGTGGAAACAAAAGCAAAATCTCTTCTCCAAAGTATCATACCTTTTGACTTCAATTTTGTAGCCAAGGTATTTTCAAAATACCTATCTTGGGTTAGTTCAGCAGTATTTATAAACAAAAGTCTTTTAGCAGCTGTTGCTCCTTCCTCAGCATTCAAACAATTCAAAGACAGCATAGCAACATACAGTATCAAGATTCTCTGTGTATTTTCCATCTTTATGCAGTTTTATTTTAACCTCTATTTCTTTTATTTTTACTTTTACTTTTTGAGACAGGTTCTCCGTATATCTTTGTCCTGGAATAACTCTGTAGACCAGGCTGTCCTTGAACTCACAGAGATCCTCCTGTCTCTGCCTCCCCAGTGCTGGATTAAAGGTGTATGCTACCACACCTTAAACTCACAGAGATCCATCTGTCCTGCTTCCCAGGCATTGGCATTAAAGGTGTGTCCTACCACACCTTGAAGTCACAGAGGTCAATCTACCTCTGCCCCTTTAAGTCACAGAGGTCAATCTGCCTCTGCCTCCCAGGCATTGGGATTAAAGGTGTGTACCACCACACCCAACTACTCTCTTTCTTTTTACTTTTAGAACTTTAACTTTGATCCTGCATATATTTTTAACACACTGTAAACCATTAAGAGGTTTTTTTTGTCTTTGAATCTCTCTTTACTGTGTATCTCTCTTTTTCTGACCACATGAGCCTTTAATTTACTAAGCAATATGGAGAGCCGTGACTTTCACGGCTAGATCCAGCCCATTCCTTAGCTTTCCAGACTCATGACTGAGGTACTGGCTGCGGCCATTTTTCTTGCCACAACTCTATGGCGTTTCAAGGTCCTTGCCAGCAAGCAAGCTGCAGCATTCTGCTCACAGACCACACTCAGTCAGACTGCCTGCCTGCAAGAGTCAGAGTTTGTCCTGGCAGGACAGCCCAGAAAGCCGGCATTTTAAAACAACAGTGCAACCTTTTTCCTGCTATGGCTGAAAGCCGAAAACCATGCGTTCAGCTTTTCACCAACACCGTTTAAGTGTTTTGTGGCAGAACCTCTTAATGAGCTACAAAGTTTTGCAGCTAAAGCCGAGTCAGGAAGCCTCTCTTAGATGAGAGCATTTGCTTGCCTCTAGCAAGCAGAGCAGACCCGAGAAATTGCTGCTACCAAGAAAACATGCTTTACTCTATTCTTTCCCAAACTTTCTCAAGCTTTCTGTGAATTCAGTTATCCACATCTGGGCGCCATATGTAACATGAGGGGGCCGACTTGTTGGGGTTTCTGTCCCGCCTGGTACCCCACAGCCCGCAAGCCCCAAAGGAAATTACACACAGGACTCCTTATTATTATAAACTGATTGGCCCATTAGCTCAGTCTTCTTATTAACTAATTCTTACATCTTACGGTAACCCATAATTCTACTCTGTGTTAGCCTTATGGCTTGGTACCATTTTCAGCTGTCAGCTTACATGTTGCATCTTTGGTGGTCTGGGCAGGAATGGCAGAGGAAGCTTCCTGCTTCCCAGAATACTCCCAGTCTCTTTGCTCCACCCCTACTTCCTGTTTGGCTTTCCTGCCTATACTGCCTGCCTGGCCAATCAGTGTTTTATTAAAATATGATTGACAGAATGCAGACAATTCTCCTGCATCAATTACTGATATACTTGTATTAATTCCATGTGTTTACATCCTATACACCGTTCATTGTCCTCACTTCAGCATGACTTGAATGCTGTAGACTGTACTTACTGTCTCAAAATCACCCAGAAATGTGGTTTGAATTCCTCCATTCCAAGAACACATTGTAGGAGATTTCTATAGGCTGAGCTTTTCCCCTGGTAAGGTTCTGATTATTGTTTCTAAATTATTTCTTTTGGAGATCTTGCTAAATTTATTTTCAGTGTCTTCATTTATAGTAAGTCGTCATGGTTTCACACAGGAAGTGTTAGAGGCAAGTGACCTGATGTGCCAAGCAACGCTACTTTAGTTAACACTAGGCATCTTATCTTTTTCCCCTTCTTTACTCTACAGCCCAGACTGGCCTTAAACTCTCAGAGATACTCCTGCCTCATGGGTGTATTTCTGTTTGCTTTAATTGGTTCTGGGAACACTTTAAAAATATTTGCTTAAAAAGTACATCCAAGGATCATATTACTGATTAGAAGATTATTAAAAAAAATCAAAAAGTGAAATTTTTGTGTTTGAATTGAGGTTGACTGAAATAATACCTGTTACACAAAGTTACTTAAAAACAGTGGCAACAGCAAATGTTGCCTTCTTGCTTATATATATTAAGATGCAGAGTAAGCTGGGTGTGGTGATGCTTGCCTTTAATCCCAGTGCTCCTAAGAGGGGAATTTTTGTAAATGTTGGAAAGAGGCTGATGAATCTTTGTGAGTTCTAGGCCAGTCTGGTATAAATAGCGAGGTCCAGCACAGTCAGGGCTACGTGGAGAAACTTTTCCACAAACAAGCAAGCAAGCAAGCAAGCAAGCAAGCAAGCAAGCAAGCAAGCAAGCAAATACCAGAGAATAGATTGATTGTATGAAAATCTGTAAAAGCAGTTGACTTCAACTACTATGTGCCATGGAATGAAAAATGTGACATATGTTCCTTCTGGTTAGGCTAGTTCTAAGTGTCGGGGCTTTTACACACGTGTTTTAGGAAGGGGCAATGAACTGCTGAAAAGCTTAGTGCATGAAGATATTTCCGTGTGATTATGAAGTAACAGATGAATGAACTGGCACGAGCTGCTGCGTGCTTTACCGTAAGATTGAGACTGGAGAAGGAAGACACACAGATGATGGAGACACAAGCAGAAGGAAGCCAGCTCGCTCGTGTGCAGCAGAGCCCACATTGCGATTCAGGCAGATCTGCAGAGCCTTATGTCTTCGCCTCATGCTATGTGGTCTCTTGGAGTCAGTGTTTTAACAGCCATTCAGTATGGAAATCTACTATTAATAGTAGCTTTTGCTAGAGTAGTTTTTGTTGTCTACAACTTAAAAAATTAAAAAAAAATTCCCTCTTAGAAGTCTTTATGTGTGACCCTCATGAGAAGTTTTTCATTTTTGAGAGGGAGAGAGAAAGAGGGCCATTGGTACACTGGCAATGCTTTTCACTGCGGAGTTGAAAGTTGGAGGTCTTTTACTGTGGTTAGCCTTGTCAACTAAGAGCTGCTTGTGGCCAATTTCTACTTTCTTAATTATAAGTAGAGTTCATAGAAACACGAAGAAAAGTTTTGGTTTTTGAATCCTTGATTTGTTGATGAAATTCAGTGGAAGCCTGTTGTGGTGGTATGTGCTCATCATCCTAGCACTTGGGAGGCAGAGGCAGGTAGATCTCTATTTAATTGAGGCCAGCCAGAGCTACATAGCAAGGTTCTGTCTCAAAAACAACCCAAAACAATAACAATAAAAGAAATTCAATGTAAAAAATACTATTACTTTTTCTTTGTGCGGGTCACTTGCTAACTTTTCTTAGCTATCTCTTTTCATTATCTCATTATTTACATTTTATAGTGTAGTGCAGTTTATAAAATATTCATTTTTTCTGATACTAATATTACATAGTTTATAACCAATGACTTTAATAATCTAAGCTTTAAAAATATTTAAACTATCCTGACTTTAGATTTCTGACTTTGTATAGACTGTATACACTAGTGATGAATTCTTTTTTTTTTTTTTTGTCTTTTGAGATAAGATTTTGCTGTAGCTTTGGAGCCTATCCTGGAACTAGCTTTTGTAGACCAGACTGGCCTCAAACTCACAGAGATCTGCCTGCCTCTGCCTCCCAAGTGCTGGGATTAAAGGCGTGCACCACCAACGCCTGGCAGTGATGAATATTTTTAATGAAGTATTCAGTTATGTGTTGAGTAGTGTATTTAAAAAAAACCATTTACTCAAGGTTCTTTGCAGAGATTTTTCTGTAGCTAGAGGTAATGCCTTGAGAAACATAGAAGTCGATCTGGAATGAGAGTGCAAATGATTTACATTATGATTGTGAGCAGACTGTGTGTAAAACCAGGGGTGACCATCACTTTATTGCTAGAGTTGGGTCTTAGCACTATTCTAAGGCTCAGATATTAGCCATAGGAATGGTCCTCGAATGAGAAGCAGAGGTATTCATACATTAAGATAGGAACTGTATGGAACCAGAGAGATAGCTTAGTAGTTAAGAGCACT